CAGATTACGCTTAGAGGATTGAATAGGTGAGTTATTAGAAGGTTTGAGCTGTCTCCTGTACTGTAAATTCACCTCTAAGTGGTCCCAGTGAATCTTTCAATGTGGTTAGTGCCCTCCTTCATTTTTGGTTGGTCACAAGCCAGGCACCCCAAAGAGTTGATGACGATTTTTGACCTCTTCAAGGATAGTCTCAGTTGTCATCCTGCTGAAACAGATCTCCACATAGAGTTTTTGCTTTGGTGTATTGCGTTAGATTTATGAATGACCATCCCAACTCAGCATAGCTGGGTTTTGAATGATAACTGCCTTGATGCTGTGTATGTTGACTTGAGACAGGATGCTGCTGTTGGGTCACAATACTTGACACTAGATTTGACTATATGAGTGTACAAACATATCCACTTGGAGTTGGAGTAGATCATTTAGCCCCTCAAGCTTGGTCTGTCATTTCATACGATCATGGCTGAACTGATTGTGTCCTTAATTCCACGGCCCTTTCTACCCTCTACACATTTTGATTAACATGTTGATTAAGAATGCATCTAGCTCAGCCTTGAAAACATTCAATGAGCCTGCTTCCACTGCTATCTGGGGAAGACAATTGCACAGATTAATCTGAAATGAAAAGAAATTTGTCATCTCTGTCTTAAATGGGAGACCCCTTATTTAAACTGTGGTCCCTAATTTCAGACTCTCCCATAAGAAGAAACATCCTCCCAGCATTTGTCCTAACAAATCTGCTCAGGATCTTAGAGATAGTAGGAACTGCCGATGCTGGAGATTCTGAGATAACAAGGTGTGGAGCTGGATGAACACGGCAGGCTAGGCAGCATCAGAGGAGCCGGAAAACTGACATTTCGGGTCTGGACCCTTCTTCAGGATCTTATATGTTTCAATAAGATCACCTCTCATTTTTCTAAACTGCAATGGATACAGGCCTAACGTATCCAAACTATCCTCATAATATGGCGCCTTCAAACTAGGAATTAGTCAAGTGAGAAAAGCTCCATCATCGTAAGAATCAATTCAGTGAACTCAGAAAAGCTACAGTGGTGGTAATTCTCTTGTGCTATGAGGTTCCACAGTAGATGCCCAAGTCTCTGGAAAACATGAGGCTCGGGGATTTCTGCTGACTGGTAAACCATGACCTTATTATCAGAAGTGAGATTCTACTCTTCAAGTACTCTATGCTTAAGTTAGTCAAAGATTGAGCTGACACATTGGAATGATTTCCATTGCCTATAACATTGAGAAAAGCCTCCCAGGATTTGGAAAATGATTGATATTTTCCAGGATCTTACTGTTGATTTTAATCAATGGAAATCTGGATAGAAGGTGTCCTTATTTTGCCAAGTGGTTGGTGAAAGGTACATTCCTGGTGATACCATAATGATAGTGTTATTGGATGTGTAATCTAGAAACTTGGACAAAAACTTCAAAGACATGAGATCAAATCATACCATGGCTGCTGGGGAGAATTAAATTCAATTAATTAATGGATCTGGAATAAAATTCTGAGTTTCATTCATAAAAATAACGAAATTACTGGATTGTTGTAAAGGACCATCTGACTCACTAATGTTCTTCGGGCAACAAAATCTTCCAACCTTATCCGGTCAGATCCATATGCAATTCTTGATTGAACAGCAATGTGGTTGACTCTTAACTGGCCCCTGAAATGTTCAAGCAAGTAAGTTGTATGAAACTGCAACAGAATGTCTCTGGGGGCAACATTCCTCTAAGCTCCAAGGGTCCACACGCACACACATCAATCAGTGTGCTGATGTCATGCCATGCATTTGCTATTGATTTCTCCAGTTTCCAACAGGCAGGACTGTGTAGTAGCTGGAGAAATTGGAAGGAATGTAGTCTGTGAGTGTACTTACATTATATGCAATACAATATTTCAAGAAGATGGCTCATTGCCACTTTTTCCCATGTAATCAGGAATCACTAGCCTTACCAGTGATTCTCATAACTAAAAATAATTTTAGAAAGAAATACCTTTTTCAAATGAGTAAAGTTAGTATTTCCTCAACTACTTCATACAATTCAGGCGAAGATAACTGAGTGCAAGTGGTCACCTCATTTTAACTCAGCATTCTGAGATTAGTTTAAAATCAAGTATCATCCCATTTGTCTTGTTGTCCAGAAGGATTAGAAAGTTCCAACTGATGGGATAACTAATATATTGAAATAAAATCATAAAATCAGAACAGCACTTTTGACTATTCTTCATGCAGAATTCAACTGAAGGTTACTTAAACATTGAATTATAAAGATGCAGAAAAACATCTACACAATGTTTTAGAACAAGAACAAAGAACAAAGAAAATTACAGCACAGGAACAGGCCCTTTGGCCCTCCAAGCCTGCGCCGATCCAGATCCTCTATCTAAACCTGTCGCCTATTTTCCAAGGATCTGTATCCCTCTGCTCCCTGCCCATTCATGTATCTGTCTAGATACATCTTAAATGACGCTATCATCCCTGCGTCTACCACCTCCACTGGCAATGCGTTCCAGGCACCCACCACCCTCTGCGTAAAGAACTTTCCACGCATATCTCCCTTAAACTTTTCCCCTCTCACCTGGAAATCATGACCCCTAGTAATGGAATCCCCCACTCTGGGAAAAAGCTTCTTGCTATCCACCCTGTCTATACCTCTCATGATTTTGTAGACCTCAATCAGGTCCCCCCTCAACCTCTGTCTTTCTAATGTAAATAATCCTAATCTACTCAACCTCTCTTCATAGCTGGTGCCCTCCATACCAGGCAACATCCTGGTGAACCTCCTCTGCACCCTCTCCAAAGCATCCACATCCTTTTGGCAATGTGGTGACCAGAACTGTACGCAGTATTCCAAATGTGGTCGAACCAAAGTCCTATACAACTGTAACATGACCTGCCAACTCTTGTATTCAATACCCCATCCGATGAATGAAAGCATGCCATATATCTTCTTGACCACTCTATCCACCTGCGTTGCCACCTTCAGGTACAATGGACCTGAACACCCAGATCTCTCTGTGCATCAATTTTCCCCAGGGCTTTTCCATTTACCGTATAGTTCACTCTTGAATTGGATCTTCCAAAATGCATCACCTTCCATTTGCCTGGATTGAACTCCATCTGCCATTTCTCCGCCCAACTCTCCAACCTATCTATATTCTGCTGCATTCTCCGACAGTCCCCTTCACTATCTGCTACTCCACCAATCTTAGTGTCATCTGCAAACTTGCTAATCAGACCACCTATACCTTCCTCCAGATCATTTATGTATATCACAAACAACAGTGGTCCCAACACGGATCCCTGTGGAACACCACTGGTCACAGTTCTCCATTTTGAGAAACTCCCTTCCACTATAACTCTCTGTCTCCAGTTGCCCAGCCAGTTCTCTATCCATCTAGCTAGTACGCCTTAGACCCCATGCGACTTCACTTTCTCCATCAGCTTACCATGGGGAACCTTATCAAATGCCTTACCGAAGTCCATAAGATAAGAATAATGGCCTGTCACATAGTTTAAATGTCCCAAATCTCTTCACAGGGCCATTATCAAATAAGACTGAATTGAAGCTGCTAAGGAGATATCAAAATATGTTACCAAACGTGTGGTCAAAAGTGTAGGTTTTCCAGAGAACTTAGTGGAAGACAGAGAAGAGTATGGAGGTGGAAATGTTTTCCTGTTCCTTCAAGGGATTTAGGCTTCGCTGGATGGCCAGCATTTATTATCCATTCCTAATTAACTTGGAGAAGGCGTTAGCGAGCTGCCTTATTGAACCACTGCATTTTCGGGTGTATGGACATATAGTATGCTGTTAGAAAAGAACCTCCATGATTTTCAGCCAGACACAGTGAAGTAACGGTGATATTGTTCCAGCTCTGAATGGTGTGTGACGTGGAGGGGATCTCACAGTTGGCGGTTTTCCCATGCAACTGTTGCCCATGTTCTTCCAGGCAGTAGTGGTCATGGGTTTGGAAGGTGTATTAAAGAAGTCTTGGTGAAATTCTGCAATGCATGTTGGAGGTGGTATAGACTGCTGACATTGTAAAGGTAAAGTCATCATTGTCCTACTGGATTACAAGAGTGCTCTGTCATTAGAGATGACTGGTAGTGGTTTAACCTGAGAGTTACCACCTCCTTAGGCGAGGGGAGAGATTGAAAAGGAGTGTTCTTCATGGTTATTTCAGCCAGTACGGGAATTTAACCCACACTATTGCCATTACTCTGCATTGCAAAGCAGCCATCTGAACTAACTGACTCCCCCTGCCAATATACGGCATTGGTTAAGGGAGTGAATGTTGAATGGGTGGATAGGATGACAATCAAATGGACTGCTTTGTCCTTGGTGGTGGTGAGCTTGTGAATGCTGTTGGAGTTGCCTCTAATGGGGCAAGTGAAGATTATGTTCCTGACTTGCAACTTGTAGATGGTGAACAGGCTTTGGGTTCACAGAAGGTGAATTCCTTGCTGACCCACAGTACTTATATAATTAGTTCAGTTCAGTTTGTAGTAACTGCCAGGATGTTGATAGTGGAAGAATTGCTAATGATAATGCCTTTGAATGTCAATGGATGATGGGTAGATTGTTTTGTGGTTGTAATGCTCATTGTGCTGCACTTGCATGGTGCTAACGTTATTTGCCACTCATTAGACCAAGCTGGATCTTATCCATGTTTTAGACACATACTATGTGGACACATACTATTTCAACATCTGAGGATTTGTGTTTATGGAGGAAATTACAGAGCTCAGGGTCTAGGCAACATCAGGCTGGCTGCTAATGATGGACTAATGACATTTGAGTGAGAAGCCTGATTCGAAGGAGCACAGAGATCTTGGTGAGCTGGAGGAGTTTCCAGAGAAACTAAGTGGTGGGCCTTAAAGGGATTTGAACACAAGCATGTAAATCAAATTGCCAGTTTGAGAGTCATTTAAGGTCAACAAGCACAGGAATGCATGAAAGGAACTTATTTGATTTAGGATCTGGTCAGCTACAATGTCAATTATACTTTATTTGATGTCAATAATAACATCAATACAGTGTCACAACAAAATGGAGATAATTGAATAACTTCCCTACAAATCACACCAGGAGGTGATCTCTCTGATTTTCTGCACATCATTTGCTATTCTTCATTCACAGCATATTGCTAGAGAAATAATTTTACCATACTCAGGAATTATTTTAGTTTCCATCATGAATTCAAAGACTTTATAAATTAAAATACACCTGCATGCAACACATTAGCTGACAAGCTGGTGTCAATATTTTCTACATTTGGTAGGATGATAACTCAATTCTGATGAAAGGTGATTGATCTGAAACATGGTGCGAAATTTTACAGCCCGAGCATTGGCCCTAGTTGTCCCATGCCAGTTTTGATCCGCGGCCTATAAAATCCTGGTAGCCGTGAAGATCACGAACCAGAGCTGAAATGACATGGAAAAGAGAACACAACAAAATCAAAATGCTTTCCAAAAAAATCGTCAGTACAGCTTTAGGAGCAGTTACTATTCAGAAAAGCCAGACAGCTGAACAATTGCTTTGAAGGAAAAATCAAAAATTTCCTGCAGAAAAATCTCCAAAATCAAGTGTAAGTCAATAGGAGCTTTTTACAGCCAGTGAGTAATAGGAAAGCAAACATTTGAGAAAAAAAAGAAACATTGAGAGCATTAAAAGCTTTCCAGCTGCCAAGGGAATAAAACTGGATCAAGCACCCATAACAAGAGACTGATTACTAGACATTCAACACAAATTTATTCCTTAGAGCAAAAGCACAAAAACGTTAGACTGGCAATCAGAGTTAAGGTTTCAGGCAATGATTTCATAGCTTTGGGTATTTTGTCAATAGCAAATTTGTCAACTAGCAAATTAAGACTATTCTTCAGAAACACATTTATGGTATTTCAATTGACAAACAATCAAGTCAGAAGCCACACGACACCAGGTTATAGTCCAACAGGTTTATTTGAAATCACAAGCTTTCAAAATGCTGCCCCTTTGTCTGATGTGGTGTAACTTCTGACTTTGTCCACCCCAGTTAAACACCAGCACCTCCATATCATGACAAAAATCAAGAATAAGATTTTTTCCTTGGAATTCAAAGTTTCACTGTCCTAAGTTACTTAAAACATTATTATTTCCATGATTTGGGTATGAAAGACAAGTTCATTACAGAAACTGAAAAGTTTTATCAAGTTTAATTGTTGAAAAAACAACATCAGGGACAAAGGGAAAGAGCACAGATCTGATCATGTGTTGTCAGATTTGGCAGGAAAATACCTCAGATGGAGAAAAATATCAGCATGAACAATATCACATCCAAACAAAAGAATCTTATTGATTGGAGATATTTTGAGTAATTTTCCAATGACAGGCCCTTTGAAAATCCTTGAGGCACCTTGGAAAGTGAATTTTTTTCATTTGCTTCTGTGAGGTTGCACATTGCTAAAGGGAAACTGAACGTAACATCAAAAACAGCATTTAGAACAGCAGAAACTTTAACAGTTTTCAGCTTTTGAACTGCAATAACAATCTTCATAACATCACGGATTCAACAAAAGCTTTAATCAACAGTCCGACTACACCACACATTCCAGCAGTTACAGCGACGCAAGAAACTTCAGCAAGTACTGCCCATTGTGGTCAAGCCACCAGATTGATTGAACTTTGATTGGGGCTACACAGAGAGACAAACAACCAGATGGAAGGTCAAAGCAGTGCCATTTGTAAAAGCTTGACGAATAATGAACAGTGCATTGTCATCAGTGCCATCGAAATGCCCTCAATAAATTTTCTTCTTCTCCTTCTTGAACTACATCATAGTGTATTCCTTGGTTCCAGTGGAGGAAGCTGCTTGGCATTGGAGCCCTTTGGCTTTGGGGATTTGGTTAGGTCACCCTGGAGATACTTGTGTCTACACAGCCCAAACATACGGGCAGCACGGTGGCTCAGTGGTTAGCACTGCTGCCTCACAGCGCCAGGGACCCGGGTTTGATTCCAGTCTCAGGCAACTGTCTGTGTGGAGTTTGCACATTCTCCCTGTGTCTGTGCGGGTTTCCTCTGGGTGCTCTAGTTTCCTCCCACAGTCCAAAGATGTGCAGCTAGGTGGATTGGCCATGATAAATTGTCCATAGTGCCCAGGGATCTTTAGGTTAGGTGGGTTAGACATGGGAAATCAGAGGTAGTGGAATGGGTCTGGGTGGGATGCTCTTCGGAGGGGCGGTGGGTGTGGACTTGTTGGGCCGAATGGCCCGTTTTCACACTGTAGGGATTCTATGATATCAAGGAGCTTCTTGCCAGAGACAAGTTGAACCTCCTTGGTGTGAACTTTCCACTTAGGAGAGGGGGAGGGGAAGTTGGTGGTCAGGGTGGGGGTGAAGACATTGTCCACCTGTGCCCTGTCCTGAGTAGAGATTTCTGAGGGGCTTTTGTGTGGTTCTTCTTTTGGTTTGATGCCTCCTGACACTGCCCAGTTTTCTTGTGAAAAAGGGGATCTGGAGTACATGACAGCTCCCATATCCACCTATCATCATGCCTTTGGTCCTGAGAACCAATGCTGGGACAATGAAATGCAGGTTTGGGATCCCCCTCAGCAGACCCTGAGGGTGCTAGACCTGTCTGTCCGTGGCATCCACCAACCTGTCCATGGGGACAGCCAGACAGCCACATGACTCACTGCACTGCTGCAGCTTCTGGGCAAAGACAACCATTGAATCCCACAGAGATAGTAGGAACTGCAGATGCTGGAGAATCCGAGACAACAAGGTGCAGGGCTGGATGAACACAGCAGGCCAAGCAGCATCATAGGAGCAGAGAGGCTGACGTTTCGGGACTAGACCCTTCATCAGAAAAGGGGGAGGGGAAGGGGGTTTTGAAATA